AGTGGGTGTGAAAAGGGAGGGGAGGAGTCTTTAGGAGGTCTCATTGACAGTGAAAAAAAAAAGATTTGAAACTTAAAAAAAAATTGCTCCCCAGAGCAACACAACACTGTAATATTGGGTAAAGTCCATCTATTCAACATTGGATAGGGTAGGGCTGACCTGTTTGATGGGCAACTGGCTGCCTGGCCTAAATTGATCAATCCATAATCATTTATTAAACTCCACTGAACTCTGCCTTGACCATTAGGTAGGCCTAGCCATTTACCATCTGCCCAGAGGTTGTAACCAACATCATTCCCCAACATGCTTTGCCCAAGGAGTCAAACACAGAGCATTTATGGCTGTAGGGAAAGGCATGACAATCTATTATCTTAGTGCCTGTACTAGACTAAACTGTCCTGGACTCAGAATCCCCATGATTCAGAGGTCCAGGCTATAAGGGAGAATGTCCCTTTCTTGGCTACCCCTCTCTCGCCCCTCTTGCCCATTCTTATCAGTTCCAACTCTCCTTGTCATTCTACTCAATCCGTTTTCCATTTTGCCCCCATTCCATTGGTAACAAATGTCCTTTCAAATCTCCTCTCGTGCTTCTTCCTTCTTGGCAAAAATGGAAACCTGGCTTCCCCCAGAAGAGACTGCACCTCTGGGCATCTTCTCCAGCTGTGGATGGACCTCTGTTCAGGCCCTCCCCCTTTCCCTCTGACCCCAGAGTGGTCCAGAAGGAAGAAAAAGCACATTCTTGTACTCATTCATCATTCACCAACTTCTCCTTCTTTGGGTTTCCTAATTTGTCACCCGATACAGATCTTGATGACCGTTCTCAACCGCCACCACCTGTATCATTCTTCCTCCTTTCTTTTTTTTAAATTTTATTTATTTCACTAAATATGTCCCAATTACAAAAAAATTAACAGTAATTTTTAAAAATTGAGTTCCGGATTCTTTCCCTGCCTCCTAACCCTTCCCCCCTTCTTCCTCCTTTCTTGAGGAGTTCCATGCCTGGCTCATAGTTTTCCTCCCCACCCCAACCCAGGCCCTCATACTTGGGGAATTCAACTTACAAGTTGATTTCCCTTCAAACATCCTTGCTTTCTAGCTCATCGAGATCCGGGCTTTACTGACCTTCTCCTTCACTCCACCTCAGCCTCATGTAGGGATGGCCACACCCTTGAACTCATCCTCACCTCTAAGTATTTGTCCTTCATAATCCATAATTTTGAATTCCTCTGTCTGAGAACATAAGCTTCTGTCCTTCCAGCTCTCCCCATGCCACCTTCCTCCTAAACCTAGTCTCTCTCTTCCCTACAACCTTTAGTAGCTCACTCCATTCCCTCCCTACTTTCCCAGGCCAGCCACCATCCTTGCTCTGGCTTCACTTTCCTCCTTTCAAAATCTTGACCCTACAGTCAACCAGCTTGGCTTGACCCTTTCTTCTATCCTTGAATGCACTGCCTAGCAATTCCAATTGCTACTCAACCCTTTCCAAACCTCAACCCTGGATTACTTCACCATCTGCCTTCCAGGGGCAGCCAGGTGACAGTGGATAGAGTGCCTGGCATGGAGTCAGGAAGACTCATCTTCCTGAGTTTAAATCTGGCTTCAGACACTTATTTAGCTGAGTAACCCTATGCAAGTCACTTAACCACGTCCGCCTCGGTTTCCTCATCCATAAAATAAGCTGGAGAAGGAAATGGCAAACCACTCTAGTATCTTTGCTGAGAAAACTCCAATTGAGACTTGGACACAACTAAAAATGACTGAACAAAACTGCCTTCTCTGCTCCAACACAAGTGCTGTTGAATGCCAATGGAGGAGATCATAATACTGCACTGAATAGGTCCACTCTAAATTCTTTTCCTATAATCTCAACCGTGTCCTCCCTGCAGCACCTCCATCCTTTTAGTCTTCCCCAATCTCTCTAACCCACTTCCCTCAGCATCCATTCCAAAGCTATTCTGTCAAGTCTTCTATACTACACACTTCCTCTCAGCAACAGCCCTGCATCCCAAGCTTCCTCTTTCGAACTCCAATGTTATCCTTCAAATCCCTGAATCATGACATACAGCCCGCCCCGCAACTCCCTCCTCCTTTGCTCCAATCTGGAAGGAAGAGCTGGTCCTTTCTTGCAAATGCCAAATTCTCTACTTGCGATCTTGAGAGAACATTCTCACTGACTCTTCCATCAGCAGGCAATCACAACTTCACGATTTATGTGAAAACTAGGTTTATTACAAGAAAAATGAACGTGCATTTCCCCTTCTCTATGTAGTGAATTTATCACATTCCTTCCCCCTGACTCCCTTTGGAGCATGATCCTTACAAACATGGCCAGACTTCTCCATCCTTTAAAAAAAAAAAAAAAAACAGGCACCAAACCTTCCCTTGATCCCCTCCAGCTACCATCCTACATCTCCCCTTTTTTATAGCCAGACTTTTAGAATAATCTAGGTGCCTTTTTCTCACCCTCCTCTTGCTCCTCAGCCCTTTATAATCTAGCATCCAATCACATCATTCAACTGAAACATCTTTCTTTGAGTTAACCAATGACCTGGTGGCCTTTTCTCCATCATCCTTGACCTCTCTACAGCATTTCCTGCTGTGGACCAACCACTCCTCCTGGGGTTTTGTGACACTCCTCTCTCCTGGTTTCTCTCCTACCTGTCTGGTTACTCTTCACACCCCTTCGTTTAGATTATCACCCTGGTACCACCCCTCTGTGCATCTCAGGGATCTCTTCTTTCTATAGGTATTATTCACTTGGTCTCATCAGGTCCCATAGATTCAACCCTTCCTTCCATGCAAATGACTTCCAGATCTCCACATTCGGCTTTAGTCTCCTTCCTAAGCTGCAGCCCCACATCACCAACTGCCTACTGACATTTTCAATGCCTTGTCCCCTAGGCCTCTCAAACTTAATGTAACTAGACCAGAACTCATTGTTCTTCCCTCTCTTATTCTTCACTTCCCTCTTTCTGTTGCAGGCACCACTATCTTCTTAGTCACCCATGTTCATCATCCTCAGCTCTTCTCTCTCCCACATATCCAATCAGTTACCAAGTCTTGCCGATTTTACTTCCCACAGTCTCTTCCATCGGTCACTTTGTTTCCACTCAGTCATTACCCAAGCTCAAGCCCCCTTCACCTCCTAGCTGGAGCAATGCAACAATCTCCTAACTGATCTCCCATTCTCCATCTCTCTTTTCTTCAATCCCTCTTCCATACAACTGCCAAATTGTTATTCGTCTCCCCCCGCCGCCCCCAGAAGCTTTACTAACTCCCTTTTCCTTCTGGGATAAAATACAAATTCCTCTGTTGGTCTCATAAAGCCTGGCATAACCTGATCCCTTCCTACGTTTTCTTACACCTAATACCCATCCTCCCATGTACTCAGTGATGACATGGGCCTCCTAGCTGTTCTCCCCACAGTCTCCATTTCCCTATTTTGGACATTTTCACTGGTTGTCCTTCCTGCTTGGAACTTCCTTCCTCATCTCTGCCTCCTGGCATCCCCAGTTTCCTTCAAGTCCTAGCTAAAAATCCCACCCTCTGCCCCAAACCTTTCCCAATCCCCCTTAATTCTGGTGCCTTCCCTCCAATGATTATCTCCAATTTAGCCTGTCCATAAATCGAAGGGGTTGTCTCCTGTTAAAGTACGAGCAGGCACTGTCATTGTCTGGCACCTAGTAGGTGCTTAAAAAATGCTAGCTGACTAAATGGCTTTAGAAACTCTTCCTACCTGGTTCCAGTATATTTTGCCAGGCTTACTGCATGTTACTCTCTTCCACATGCTTCATGTTACAGTTTAACTGCTTGGTTTGCTGTTACATTCCACGCCTTTACCCAGCCTGTCCCTCCCACCTGGCATCTGCTCCCTTACTTTTTTTGCATCTTAGATCCCACTTATACTTCAAAGCCCAGTTAAGGAACCACCTCCTACAGGACACCCAACCTGATGCCCTCTGTTGTGAGTCCTCCCCACCAAAAAAAACCAAAAACCAAAAAACAACCTTCTACATGATTTCTGATAAATTTTTCCAGTCATGTTGTTTTGTCCCAATAAAACACAATCTCCTTGAAGACATAGACTGTTTTGTTTTGATTTAGTCAATTGATCAGTAAGTATTTAAGGGCCCAAGCACACGCAAGTGATTAACAAATGATTTGTGAATGACTGGGTCTCCCCAGGCAGAGTAGAGCAGGCTCACCACCTCCCCAGACCCAGGCACAGAAAGGCATCTCTTTCTGAAGCCCAAGTTCACTAGTACTTTTCAGCTGCCACTCTTTTAGATCCAGCAATCCCCTAGTATTACGTTTCATCTTTTAAGATCCTAGTCAGCCTGGGTAGACATTGTCAGCAGGCAGACCTCAGCCCTATGTAAAGCAAAGTTGGAAACCAGAGCTTTGTACGAACAGGCTTCATTGGGAGGTAGTGAGCTTCTCCTGAGGGATCATCTCAGGTATAGGCTGGATGGGCGGGCCCTTGCAGGGTATGGAAGGGAACGCATGCTCAGTCAGGTACAGTGGAATGAACTGGGGGTTTAGAAAATCAGTTAATTTGGGGTGAAATGCTGCCTTTGCCAATTCTCTGTGACCTGGGGCGAGTCACTTCTTTGGGTCTCATTCTTCCCCAAGTGCAAAATGAAGGGGTTGACCTAGGTAACTTCTAAAGTTCCCTCCCAGTCTTTGATTTATGATCTGGGGACCCTGAAGGACTCTCTTCTGGCCTGCATTTTATAGATGAGGAAGCAGGTCCAGATGATCCAGTAGCACAGTGCCAGCATTCAAACCCAGGCTCGCATGTTCTCATGCCCAGCCTGCCTTCCTGGGCCTTCTGCAGCAGGCAGACACAAACATGGCACCAAGCCTTCCCCAGAGTCCTATGGAGGGGCCTACAGTACCATTAATGAGTACTTTTTACTTCTCAAAGTACCACACAGAACCAGCCCCCCAGCATCATCTGGCTCTTTGACCATGACAGACGACTTCTTGGAACCACAGAGAACAGGAGGCCAGCTAAGCATTTATTGCATATCTAACCTTCCCCAACACAGCCCTCCTTCCATCTTTAAAAGAAAGTAAAAAAAAAAAGTTTTTCCTTTAAAAACAAAATCAACCACAAATAAGAAAAGCAAAAAAAATTAAAAAAAAAAAATCCCAAGAATGGTCCAACCAGAGGCTCTCTGTGCCCCAACCCAGTTATAATTTTTTTTCCCCAGGGGGTCTCTCCACACTCATCCACCCAGAGTCCCCTGGGAAGGGGAGTCCAAAGGTCATGTTACCTCAGGGGGCTAGGCTAGGCAGGCACCCTGACCCCAAGGGGACTAAGGAGGGAGGAGGAAGCTGCATCAGCCCATAGGACCAGTCAGAAAGTTGTAAACAGCCAAACCTAGCTAGCTTATATTAGAAAAGAGGATACTGGGGGGTGTGGGGAGGTCTTCATGGGGCTCAAAGGGGGAAATGAAGCTATGGTTGGCTTCCTGGGGGAACTCCATGTTCCCTGGTCACAGCTCAAACTGCAGATCTAGCTTCACACAAAGGTTTCAGTTCTCAGTAAATCTGCCTTCTTGAGAAGGGAAGTTAAGCCGTGTGCCCCACCCCGGTGCCAGCCCCAAGTCACACTCCCAAGGAAGAGATGGAAGGGATTTTACAATGACCTGCCCAAGGGCAGCTGGCTCAGGGGCCCCCTGGCTCGGAGGGAACTCTTATAGTACCATCCTGTGGTGTTGCAAGAGTTTAAACAAAAACCCCTACTCCCCGAAGTGGCTGGTCCAGAAGCCAGACCACAGGCCTCCCAATATAGGGATGGAGCCCATACGGGGCGTCTATGATACACCAAACCTTACGCTGAGGCCCGTTGTAATTTTTAACCCCAGAGTATATAGGAGGCAGCACATTTCCACGTGGCTGCCCTGGGAGTCACGGTCTGTGGGATTCGAGGGAAGAAGGGGGGTGGGGCCCAGAGCCTCTGACCACCCCCCCTCCCTGGTTCTATGGCTTATTTATGGGTCTGAGGTTGCCTTGTGGGGCAGGAAGGCTTTAAGTGGCTTAGAGGGAGGAGAAGAGGGGGATGGCTCTTGGCCCCCAAAGGCAGTGTAGGGGAGACTGCAAGACCCAGACTCCTAGGACGAGCCACTGCTCTGGTCTCTGCTCCAGGCACCTGTGACCTTGCCCTCCTGCCCAGGGGCTAAGGATGGGATCCTGCTTCTGCCCCCAAGTTTAAAGTCCCAACCAGGCTAGAAGAATGACTGTGGACGGTGGCTTGGGCATAATGACCTTGACCTCCTGGAGTAGGCTTAACAGATAAGTGGGCCTAAGAGAGGGGAACAGAGCAACCAGGAGGTCTGTGACCCAGAGGGAAGGTGACTGACATCATGTTCACTACACACTCCCAGATGGAGGCCACACACACACACACACACACACACACACACACTCTCTCTCTCTCTCTCTCTCGTGCAGAGAACCACACACTGGGAAATACCCTCCATAGACTCAATTCCGCAGGTTCACTCAGACATGGGGGGAGCCCTCCCCTCAACCCCAGCAGGACACACCTCCCAGGTACCCATATATTCAAAGAAACACCCTCCCTGAAACATAAAACCCCAGAGAGGGACACTTCCCCCAGGACCACACCGTCCCAGATACCGTCTTTGACACGCACGTTCCTCCTGCTTCCCTCCCCTACACAGGGGGAAAACCTTGGAAGCTGCAGCAAAGGTCTGCCTCGTGACCAAGAGCCCTTCCTCAGCCACTCACACAGGGAACTTGTTCCTGTCTCTGCCTTGCGGTTACCCCACGGAGTCCCTGGCCACTCATGCCTTTGCTCTCTGGATGAGAGGCAAGGCCCTGGGAGGGAGGGGTGGGGAGTGGCGCTAGTCCCTATGGCTTTGATCAAATACCACCATTTGACAGGTGAGGAAACTGAGACCCAGAAAGGCTAGGGGAACTGTCCGAGATCCTACAGCGAGTAGGGGGCAGAGGGTAGGAGCAGCAGCTAGAGACCCTGCCATGCCCCCGGCCTCTGGGACACAAGGTTGGAAAACAAGCATGGTAGGCTGCCCACAGCACCACTCACGAGGGTGAGGAGGAGGGGAGTTGGGAGTTATAAACCAGGATGTTCTCCCTCCTCCAGCTGTGGGGACCTCAGGATTTGCCCTCTGACCCCTTTGGCTCTAGCACCAGGAGTCAGCAGACCGTCCCAACAGGAAGAGTGCTGAGCTGAGTGTCGGCAGACTTAGTTCAAGTCTCTGAACTCTTCTCACTGGATGGCTCCCAGACAAGAAAAACCGCTATCTGGAGCTCTTCTACAGTGGAACGAATGGGCTTTGTGCAGCAGAAAGCCGTGCGCACCCCATTGCTGACGGTGTTCAAGCAGAGGCTAGAATGCTGGGGATCTAGGGGAGGGGACTCCTGTTCAGGGAGGTCAAAATGGAACCAGATGCCCTCTGAGGTCCCCTTCCAACCTGGGCTGGGGGCCTCAGTTTCCCCATCTGTAAAGCACATGGAACTAGATGATCTCTAAGGTCTCTGGCAGTCTCCAAGGTCCCCCAGGAACCCCTGCTGTCACAGTGGACAGGGCCAAGGGGTTTGAGAATGTGGGCAACTTCTAAGTGCTTCAGACCAGACTGGGGGCGAGCGTGGGGGCTCATCTCCTCCTCAAGGCACCCCACCAGCCACCTGCTTGCATCCCTCCCAGAGGTGGGTCAGGAACAAATCTGGGTGACTAATGGACCATGACCAAAAAGAACCAGTCCACTTCCCCTTCTTACTGAAATGAAGGGGAAGGCATGTGCATGCACACTCAGGCACGCATGCAAACACGAGCGCGCACACGTACGCGCACACACACACAGACACACCTTGGTCCAGCCACCAGACCCTAACTCCTGCAGGGAGCCGCAGGACTGGTCTGGGGGCCCTCGTCCGTGGGAAGTACAGGACGAGGGCAGGGTCAGGCAGTGAGAGGTGAAGGGCCGTGGCTCGTCAGCAGACCGTGGTTCTGGAGAAGGCAGCAGCATGCAGCCCCCCTCCCCACCACTGTCCTGCCCAGCAGGCCGGGCCTCTCAGCGGGCGGGCGGCGGTGACAGCACGGGGTGGGCCAGCGTCACATTGAGGGAGTCGTTATGCTGAACCAGCGACGTATGCTTGTAATGTAGCACCAAGTCTTTGAGGGAGGCGTACAGGTTGTAGGGCTCGGCGAAACCATAGCCAGTCACCGTCTTATAGATGACGCAGTGTTTGGTGTCTCCGTCCACCCTGAGAGACAAGAGAAGGCAGAGCTGGTCCTCAGTGTGCCCACAACCCAGGCACCAGCCTGTCCCCAGAGGCCGGGCCCTGGCCTTGCTCTGGGGGAGGAGGGAATGCCCGGGGACTCCAGTGAGGCCTGCAGTTGAGGGCCTGGCCTTGCTCTAGGGGAGGAGGGAATGCCCGGAGACTCCAGTGAGGCCTGCAGCTGGGGGCCTGGCCTTACTCTGGGGGAGGAGGGAATGCCTGGGAACTCCAGTGAGGGCTGCAGATGAGGGCCTGGCCTTGCTCTGGGGGAGAAGGGAATGCCCGGGGACTCCAGTGAGGGCTGCAGCTGAGGGGCTGCCCTCCCATCCGCCAGCCTGACCCAGGCCAGTCCTGAGTACACTTACACCACTGAACAAGCGTAGCAGCCCCGCTGACTGCTCTCGCGGATGAGGAAGGTGCCGTCCCGCTTGCCGCTCAGCATCTCCTCTGCCCGCCCGCGGTTGATCTTTCCAACGTACCAGGTTCGCTCCTCCTGATGGGGCAGGTCCTCTTCCTCGTCCACCATGGAATACTGGCTGTGGGCACGGGCAGAGTTAGGCAGGGACAGCCTCAGAGCCTCCCATGCCCCTCGGGGGAGGCCACCCAGGGAAGGGTGCAGGCACCATCTTATCCCCAGTGCTTAGCACAGTGCCTGGCACACAGTAAGCCTTTAGTAAATCCTGAGTGATCAGCATTCCCGGCTCGCCTCATCTCTGCTTCCTGGCTTCCCTGGCCTCCAACACCCAGGTCAAAGCCTGCCTTCCTGAGAAGCCTTTCCCCATCCCCCCCAGTGCATTCCCTCTGGGACTACTGCCTATTTACACCCTACGTAGCTTAGACAGTCCGCCATATTGTCTCCCATCTCTGGGGCTTAGCATAGAACCTGGCTCCCAGTGAGTGCCGACAGCCCCTCAACTCCTCTGGTTCCTCTCCCGCCTTCCAAAGCCCAAACTTTTCTCTTTTCCTGCCTGGAAGGAGGCTGGGCTCACCACGCCAGCGTACCCCACCCAAGAGGCATTCATGACGTGATTACTACACACTGGGTGTTGGGCACACACAGACAAACCCTGCCCTCATGGAGCTACCTAACAGGGAAGGGAAGGGGGCCAGGCAAGTCTATGCAGGATTACTTGGGTGGAGAACACTGCAGTAGGTGGAGATCAGGAGGGGTTTCCCAGAGGCGGTGGCCTTGAAGGAAGCAAAGGCCTGACAGGTGGAAGGGAGGAGGGAGAGCCCAGGCAGACAGGATGGTCCAGAGCTCAGCATCTCCATCTGGCATCGGTGAAGGGGTAGACAGACGCCGCCACCCCTGGCCTCCTCTCCTCTGAGGTGGCAGCTCTCAAACCACTCAATTAACAAGTATTTACTATGTGCCAGTTACTAAGCGAGGAGCTGGACCACTCAGACCTGGAATTCTTAACTTGGGAAATCCACAAACTTGATTAAAAAATCTGTATATTTTTAGATGAATGCGTTTTGATGGAATTGGTTTCTCTTGTAATCCTATGCATTTTATTTTATGCATTTGAAAACCTTATTCTGAGAAGGGGTCCACAGACTTCTTCCTCTGCAGGCCAAAGGGGTCCAGGACACAAAGAAGGACATGAACCCCTCTCTCCTTTCCCAACATTCTCGGAGGGTCTCGCATGTTTGGACCCAGCCCAGAGGCTCCCTGGATACCTGAGTGGGGAGGGGTCCCTGTTACTGAGACTGACACCCACAACTCCCATTCACCTGGTGGCTTAAGGTTTACGAGGGTTTTCCTCACAACCCCATTTTACAGATGAGGAAACTGAGGCTGAGTTAAGTGACTGGCCCAAGGTCACACAGCTGAGGACTCCAACTCGGGCCTCCTGACTCCAAGGCAGGCTCTCTTTCCACCACTCGACGTGTCCTTTTCCTAAATGGCCAGACTGAAGGAGGACAAGAGGAGGGGTACACTCACTCTTCAGTCTCGTTCCTGATTCCCAGCCACTCATTAATCTTCTTCTGCCGGGCTCCCTTCTGGGTCAGCCACCTGCCAGGTAGGGAGAGAAGAGCCGTCACACCTCACACCCAGCCAGCCTCTGGCTTTTATCAAAGGTCTTTCCCGCTCACAGGCTTTATCGGAGTCAAGGAAGGAGGAGAGACAGGAGAATACCAGCCCCATTTCACAAAAACAGGTCACAAAGACAGAAAGAACTGGAACCACACGGTGCCCGTCCTCCAGGGAAACAGCTGAACAGATAATGACGGACGAGGGAGCCCGCATGCCTCTGTGCCACATGAGAACGGATGAAAGAGATGGGCCCGGGGAGATCCGAATGAGCCGATGCAGAGCAGGGGGGGCGGAACCAGGACAGCAATTCCACAATAACATTCAACGGGATGGTAAAGACGTCGTAGCCGCCACCCCCACCCCCACCCCTACCGCTGCCTTTCTCCAACAACCGGTCATCCAGCTGGGAGCCTGATGAATGAGCAAGAACACAGGGCTCTCCTAAGCCCACTTTCTTGATGATTTCTTAATGTTTTTCCGGACCTTAAATGGCCTCTCTGCAACGTCCATCTACTGCCTCCACGGCCACTGGGAACAGACCAAACCTCATCCCCCTAGCACACAGCCCTTCAAACACCCGGAGGCGTTTTTGACGTTTTTCACATCGTCCCCAAGATTATTCTCCTTTAGACTAAACACTCCCAGTTACGTCAGTGAATTGTCTACAGATCACAGGTCTGGAGCAAAAAGGGATCCATGGGCCTCTCACTGGACCCATTTACTCATCTGCACCAATGGGGCTACAGAACATTCAACCAGGCAAGTCTATACATGATTATTCAAGCAGGAGAAGGGCTCTAATTAACTAGACAGGGTGCAGATTAGGAAGGGCTTCCTGGAGGAGGTGGCCTGTGAGCTGAGCCTTGAAGGAAGTATGGAGGAAAAGCTTTCCAGCCATACAGGGACAGGGGAGGAAACTGAGGTACACAGACATTATCTGACTCATTTGAGACTACCCAGGTAGTAAATATCACAGCTACAATTCTAACCCTGGTCCTCTGAATCCAGTCATCAACTTAAGGCCTTTAACCAAACTGGCTTCCTGAAGCATCTAGAGGACTCTTAGCAATATTCCCAGCTCATCAATATTCTTCCCTAAACTAGAGAGTCAGGAACTGAACACAATAGTCCTACTCCAGAAAGGGTCTAACCCAGACAAAATCCAGCTATGCCCTCGGTAAAGCAACCTTAAATTACATCAGCCACACCACACACACAGCGAGGAGTGGTTTATCCTTTGTACTGTATCCCCAGAACCTAGCAGAGTGCCTGGCACACCTGAAGCCCTTAATAAATCCTTATGGCGGCTGAGCGCCTGGGCCGTTCAAATTCCAGGACTGATCTGAGACAAACCCCAGGGGTTACAGTTTGCCAAGTAATGAAGATAAGGTACCACCAGGAAAAGCTGCAACCATTTCCTCCCTTGCCCCTTCTGAGGGCAGATTTCTCAAACTCTGACCTCCAAGATAAGAGCAAACATTCCCCCCCAGCCACCAGACAGACACACAAGACACACACACACACTCTTATTCTCATTCATTCTCTCTCTATATATATAGATACACACACAACACACACACACACTCTCTTATTCTCTTTCTCTCTCCCTCTCTCTCTTTCTCTCTCTCTCTCTATATATATATACACAACACACACACTCTTATTCTCTCTCTCCACACACACACACTCTTATTCTCTTTCTCCCTCTCTCTCTCTCTCTCTCTACACACACACACACTCTCTTATTGTCTCTCTCTCTCTATATATATTTATACACAACACACACACACAGACACACACACTCTTATTCTTTCTCTCTCTCCACACACACACACTCTTATTCTCTCTCCACACACACACACACACACACTCACACACACACTCTAATTCTCTCTCTCCACATACACACACTCTTATTGTCTCTCTATCCCTCTCTCTATATATACACACAACACACACACACACTTTTATTCTCTCTCTCTCTCCACACACATACACACACACACTCACCCCCTCCTGGCCCACTCCTGATAGTGGCAGGCAGACAGTAAAGAAGGTCCCTGCCCTGGAGGGGTCTGGGCGGGACAGATGCCCTGATGGGGAAGAATGCTGAAGGTGGATGCAGTTGGGTGCAATACTAGCCGGCGGCCACAAGGAGGCGGGCTCCCTGCAGGCCCCGAGGTCTAGAGCTGCTCTGGGAGGGGACACTCACACTAGGTACTGGTCCCGGATTTTCCGCAGCTGCATGAGGTCCGGCTTGAGGCTGTTCATGCGTTTGTCGATCTCCCGGTTGTCGGCTGCCTGGGCCCGCAGGTCCTGCTCCAGCTTCATTTTGCTGTCGTGAATCTCTGCTATTCGGGACTTGAGCTTCTCGGAATTCATCAGGATCCTGGAAGGGGGTGGGGGTGTTACAGAATCCTAGCCCGTGAGACCCTCAGGACACGGCACGTGGGTGTCAGAGACTACCTCGTGCAACACGTTCACTCTACCGAAGAGAGGTCCTCACTTTCTCAAGGTCACGAAGGGAAGCATGTGAAGGTAGGGAGCAGAAAGGAAAGAATGGGGCCGGCAGGTGGACCGCAGCCAGGGAGCGCCCTGGGGAGAAGTGACCCTCAGATTGTGGCTAGGACACCGAGGCAGGAGAAATGTCCGGGTCAGGGAGGGTATATAGGGAGAAATAATGGGAGGGGGGGTCCAGACAAAGGGAACGGGGAGAAGCAAACAAGCCCGGCAAGGAGAGGCGATGGGGAGAGAGTGAAGGGGCCCAAAGATGCCCCTCCCCAGCATCCCCGGGCACCCCGGGCTCAGCAGGCTGGCGGTGCTCACCGCTGAATCTCCTTCTCATTGCCTTCTCGCCGGAAGCGTTCCAGGTAATCCTTGCTGCACTTCTCCTGCGTCTGGCCCTGCTCCTCGAAGATTTTGATGGTCTCGTTGAAGGCCTCGATGGCTGTCCGCTTCATCTGCAGCTCCTGGGGATGGGCACAGGCAGAGGGTGTCGGAGCTTTGCCTTTCCTTCCCGGGCAGAGGCAGCAGCAGCAGGGGCCCACCCCAGTGCGGCCTGGCTGTTCCTGCACTTCCCTCACGCCTTAGCGGCCCACCCCCTCCCTTTAGAGAAAGGCCACAGGAATCTGAGGCCCGAATGAGCTCTTCAGGGAACAGATGACCGTCTTGTAAACCAGGGTAAGCAGAGTCGGAAAGGTGCCCAAGAATTCCTTCCCAGTGCTCAATTTCATAGAAATTTAGAGCTCTGTCTCATAGGCTGTCAATGCTGGGAGGGCCCTTAGAATGTCAGAGCTGGGAGGAACCTTAGAACCCAGAATGTCAGAGCTGGGAGGGCCCTTAGAACCCAGAATATTAGAGCGGAGAGGGTCCTTAGAACACAGAAAGTCAGAGCTGGGAGCGTCGTTAGAACACAGGATGTCAGAGCTGGGATGGTCCTTAGAACACAAAACATCAGAGCTGGGAAGACCCTTAAATGTTATCAAATTCATGATTACAAATAGGGAAACTGAGGCTTCCAAAAGGAAAAGGAACTGACAGGAGGTCCCACAGTAGGTCTGGCAAAGCAGGCCTAACACCCAGGTTTCCTGACTCCCCATTCCACCAGACTTTCTTGCTATTGCTCTGGGTGCTGTAGGGTAAGATGGGGGTGGATGTAGCTATACACAACAAAGAGATTTGGCCAGCTAACATTTATTTAGTGTACTTTAAAGTTTACATTTATCATTTACATGAATTTATATTCACCCTGTTTTTGGGATACTTGCTATACCCCTAAGTGGTAGGCACTATAGGTAATTATCCCCATTTTACAGATGAGGAAACTGAGAAGGATATTCCTTAACATTGGGCTGAGGTTGTCTTCTTGTAATTCATTCATCCATTCAACCCTCACGATGCCCACGCCAGGAGGCAAGGCGTGGTGCCTGATACTGGGCCCTCTTGGTCCTCATTCTGAGCATATTCTAGGAACCTGAGCCAGGTTCTGGGAGGCTGCAGCATCACCCACCCCCCCAGCCCTGCTCTGCTGGGGACCCCAGGTTTGGTCACAGGCCCTGATGCCCCCATAACCCTCAGTGTTTCCAGAGTCAGGCTCCCCGGGGCAGCTGGGAGACACCTGGGATACCTGGGAAGTACGGGTATATTCCTCATAGAGCAGGTCGTATTCTCGGCTCTTGTCCTGATACTGCTGATGATAAACCTTCAGCTGTTCACCAACGGCCTCAACGCTATCCTCCTTCACCACCTGGTCCTGGGGGCAGAGGGCAGAGTGAGGCAGGTAAGCTCCCTGGAACCAACCTGGCCCCGAAAGGCCCTGAACAGGCCCCTAACCTTTGTTTTTGTTTTTTGTTTTTTTGGTGAGGCAATCGGGGGTTAAGTGACTTGCCTAGGGTCACACAGCTAGTAAGTATCACGAGTCTGAGGCCACATTTGAACTCAGGTCCTCCTGACTCCAGGGCCGGTGAACAGGCTCTAATCTTACCCAAGCCAGCATGATGATAACAGTGCACATTTGGTTAGCAATTTTAAGTGCTCTATATACATCATCTCATTTGATCAATGGATAAACTTTGACCCATAGAGGGGAAGGGATCTGCTGGAAGTCACTGGGAATCAGAGGAAAAGCAAGTCAGTCCAATCCAAAAAGCAATAATTAAGCACCCATTAGGTTCCAGGTACTGTAGGGAGAGGAAGAAAGCAACACTCAGTGCCTGCCCTCAGGGCGCTTCCATTCCACTGTCTAAAAAAACCAGTCAGGATAATAGTTGACATCACACAGCCTTAGAGAGAGAAGGGACCTTAAGAAGCATCCAGCCCAAGCCCCTCATTTTACAGATGAGAAAACCCTGAGAGCTTAGAGGCCTTGCCCAACATCGCACAGGTATTCGCTCAGGCTTTCGTCAGGAGGGGGCACATGTACCAAGTGAGCACTGATGGAAGCTAAGGCTTCTAACAGAGAGGTAAGGGAGAGCGCCTTCTAGCCATGGGGGCACAGCCAGTGCAAAGACCCTGTGGTGGGAGATGAAGGTTCCAGATGACACAAAGCTGACAGCAGCTGGCTAATATTCTGAACGATAGAGTCAGGATCTAAAAAAGATACATGGGTTATGTTTCCAGCTAATTTATACGTTGTCTCCCTCATTAGAGCATATGCTCCTTAGGGCAGGAACTCTGTTTTTGCCTTTTTTTGTATCTCTGGTGCTTAGCATAATTCCTGGAAATAGCAGGTGCTTAATAATTGCTTATTGACTAGCACACAGTAGGTGCTCAATGAATTCTCATTGACAGGGATATATAAGATGTAGTAGGAATAAATGTAAAACTAAAAAAAAATCGGTTGTTTAGCTGGGGGTGAGGAAGCTGTGGCTAGTGAGCAGTCCAAGCTGAGCTCCTCAGGCTCCCAGGCGTTCCCACTGCACTAGTCGCGCCCCTTCTCCTCCCGGGCAGGACCCGTCCATCCTCAGACCTGCTGATGCTTGGACACGGGATAGAGCAGCCGTGTGTCCAGCTTGGCGTTGTACTGGGCCAGCGACTCATGTCTGTAGTGGGTGATGAGCTCCACCACGGAGCCAAAGGTCAGGGGCTCGGAGAAGCCGTACTGCCCATCTCGGTGGAAGACCTTGATCAGTTTGTTATTCCCGCCCTTCCTGCAGGAGGTGGGACAGGGGTCAGGAGCTGGACAACGCTGGATCACCTCGGGGGTCCTGACAGCCCCCTCTGACGCTCGCACCCAGGAGGGATGTGGTGTGCAGCCCAGCCTCCCTTGTCACTCTGGGCCAATTCCTAAGCCCCCCGCCCCCTGTCCCCCGATGGGACTCCTGCAGACCCCACATCGCCAGTCCCACCTCCCTGGGAGCCAGAGCTGCAGAGGATGGCTCGCCAGTTTACAGCTGGGGAAACAGACGGGGCTTGAGGTTGCCAAGCTGGGGAGCCAGCACGTGGACCCCCTCAGATTCCCTAGAGCCCCAGTACCTGAGGGTCAGCGTGTATTCACCCTGGATCTTGCTAGATGCGTCCCGGACGAGGAAGGTACCATCTGGAGTGTCCCGAAGTTTCTCATTCACCTCTTCCCTGCAGGGAGGGGAAGGGGTTGGATCTTAAGCCAAGGGGGTCTACCCCTGGCCAGACGCCCATGATGCCTTCCTTTTGGGCTGCTAGCAAACCCCCAGCCCGCAGAATCATCCTCATCCTTTCCCTGGCCCCACTCACCACCACCCTCTGCCTGCCTAGGTGTTCTCTCTGTCTCTCTCTCCCTCTGTCTCCCTCTCTCTGTCTCTGTCTCTCTCTCTCTTCCTCCCCGAGGTCCAGATCTCAAAGCCCTTTTGATCCACCCAGACCAGCCCCAAAAGCACAGGTATTCGCATGGACTCCCATCCCATGCCCATTATACAAAGGGGAAAACCGAGGCCCAGAGAGGGAAAACAAAAGTTCCTCTCATCGCTCATGGAGTTAAGACCACGACTGCTCCTCCCCCTTTCCCAAGTTGGCAGCTTCCGTGTTACCTGGAAATGTCACCCCAATACCACTCGGCTTCCTGGAGAGGGGCGTGGCTCCCGTTAGATAGGCTGCCAGCCTGGACCTTGGGTTTGGGAGGCTTTGGGGGTAGGGCTGGAATAAAAGCAGGCTAACATCAGACCAGGATGTCCTGGCCCCGTTTACCTCTAACCAGGATCCCCTGGTGCACCCCCTCCCTACCAGGGTCCTAAGCCCTCCCAGGTTGGAACAGAGTCATTTTACAAGATGAGGAAACTGAGGCCCGCAGGGCTCAGTGACTTGCCCAATGACTTTACACAGCTTGTGAGAATAGTGAGGGAGGATTCGTATCCAGGGCTTCCTGCCCAGTGCTCCATCCACTATACCAGGCTGCTGTCCTGAGGCAGGCACTGGAAGGAAGGCCCAGGGGCCGACCAGAAGGGGTTTCAGCGGCCTTTACCTGGGGGCAGTGGCTCCTGTTCCTCCTCCTGCTCCTGCAGCAGCATTTCCAGGAACAGGGCCGAGAAGTCAGGGGTCTGCTCAGGCCTGGGGGCGGGAGCAAGGTCAGGGCCAAGGTGCTGGTGTCCCTTCCAGTGCCCACCCTCTGCTCCCCTCCAGCCTCCTTCCCTTTGTCTATCGCCTGCCCTCCCTCCATCACTGTCCTCCCTTCTTTCCTCCCTCCCTCCTTCTCTCCCTTTCTTCCTTCTTCCCTCTCTTCTTTCCTTCCTTCCCTTCCTACTTTCTTTCCTTCCTCCCTCCCTCTTTCCTTTCTTCCTCCCTCTCCTTCCTCCCTTCTCTCCCTTCCTTCCTTCCTCCCTCCCTCTCTCTCCCTCCTCCCTCAGTCCTTCCTTCTTCCCTCTCTTCCTTCCTTCCTTCCCTTCCTACTTTCTTTCCTTCCTCTCTCCCTCCTTCCTTTCGTCCTCCCTCCCTCTTTCCTTTCTTCCTCCCTCTCCTTCCTCCCTTCTCTCCCTTCCTTCCTTCTTCCCTCTCTTCCTTCCTTCCCTTCCTACTTTCTTTCCTTCCCTCTCTCCCTTCCCTTCCTCCCTCTCCTTCCTCCCTTCTCTCCCTTCCCTTCCTCCCTCTCTATGCATCTTTCCTTCCATGCCTTCCTCCCCTCTTTGGTCATGTACATACATACCCAGTGGCTGGCAGCCTAAGTAGGAGAGGCCCAAAGATCTCCCCGAGGGCCTGGGGGCCCAGGCCGCTGCCCTGGGCTTGGGCCTGGGCCTGCCGGGCCACCCTCCCCAGGTGCTGGAGCAGGAAGCGCAGAGTCAGGGCGTTGTGCAGGGGAACCAGGGGAGGCTCCAGCACCGCCTGCAGCTGCTGCCTCCTCCATCCCGCTGATGCCGTCGCTGCGGCTGGGCTGGCTATCTCTGAGGAGGGACAGCTAGGGCATGAATCACCAGGGCCTGCCCAGCCTCCCAGGCCCTTCCCCAAACCAACCAACCAGGGCCTAGAGGGATCCCCCCGGCCATGGGCACCACGGCTAGGCTGGCCCAAGGTCAGCCGGGGATCCTCTCATCCCAACCTGCTCCCACCTCCCTGCCCAAGGGACCTGAGCATTCCTGCTCCCCTGACTGTCGAGACAATCATAGGGGACTTACCCTGCAAGGCATGAAGCATATCCCCGTGGGCTCCAGGTGGCACAAGGGGCCTGGGCAAAGCTTGTAGGTACCCCTTCAGGGCCTCAGAAAGGGTGGCCACATCCCACTGATCCACGTCACTCAGAGTCCAGTCTGCCAGGGGGCCGGGAACATGAGGGAGGGAATGGTTGCTTCCTGTCCCAGGGGCCAAGTTGCATCCTTCCCTTCTCACCCCACCCTGCTCAGCATCAAGCATCAGAACTTGGGAGCACACCTTGCCATGAGCCTTCATCATCTGGAGCTCAAGACACAGCCACGTGGGCACCTCTCAGACCCTCCCCACTGGCCCTAAGACCCCAACCACTGGAGGGAGGGGAAGATAAGAAGAGGGAGCAAGTCCCCGAGGAAAGACGTTGCTCACCAATTCTGAGTGGCCGCAGCTCAGAACCAGATGGTCTGTAGAGCATCTCGCTGTCCAGCCCTGCAGAAGGAAGGTCCAAGTAACATCAAACAAACAAATCCTTAGCGAGCTTCTCCAGCAGGGTGTGGGACAAAGGTCTGACGGGGGTGTCAGAAACCACTTCAGATGACTTCCTGAGGGTGAGCTGGAGGTCAATGGGGATGAGCACCAGCCAAGGAAATTCAAGAGAGAGGAGAGGCGCTGGTTCTTAGAACATGAAGGAAGACTGAGGTGAGAAAACGAGCCAAGGAGTGTGGAGCTCAGAAAGATCTGGATGAACCCCATGGATGTTCCAAAGAATGAGGCCGCTAGGTGCCACAGAAGACAGACTGCTGGGCCGGGAGTCAGGAAAACCTGAATTCAAATGCCACATCAAACATTTACTAGCTGTGGGACCCAGGGGGTAAATCTCTTAACCTCTGTTTGCCTTAGTTTCCTCATCTACAAAATGGGGATAATAATAGCACCTACTTCCCAGTGTCGTTGTAAGGATCAAATGAGATAATATCTGTAAAGGGCTTGGCACAGTACCTGGCATATAGTAAGTGCTTCATAAATGCTTATTCCTTTCCCTCCCTTTCTAGCAATGAGTGACTGGTGAGATTCTGTGACTTTACCTGACGTCCATGGGGGAGATGGAAGGGAATGGGGAGAGAGGGGAGCTGAGAGATCTCCTGGGAACAAAGCCCCCTTACCTTTGCGTTCAATGGCTTCCACCAACTTCTGAAGGATGGGAGGTGCTGCCTCGGGAGGGACGAACTGCTCCGGCAGGTCAGGGAGCAGGGTACCAGCTGGCAAGGGAAGAGAAGAACTTTATGGCTATGACGTGGCTGCCCCAAGTTAGGGGTGGGCAGACCCAGGTTCCGGGGGCCAAGCTGGAGGAGACCCGAGAGGCCCCATCCCAGGTGGGTGGCACCTGAGAGAAGCTGTCAGGGAGGGCATGCTAGAAGTCCCAACTAGGGCAGAAACCCCAGCACCAAGACCAAGGGTGAGACCCCAGGGTCAGGGCCTAGACCAAAAAGAGAGAAAAGTCTGTTTTCCTGAGAGGAAGGGAGTAGACACCTTAAAGCCTCCAGAGGGCCTAATGTCCTCCAAATAGCTCAAGGTCACCCCCTCTCACCAGGATTATTTGAACAGACTTCTTCTTCTTCTTTTTTTTTTTTTTTTGGTGAGGCAACTGGGATTAAGTGACTTGCCCAGGGTCACACAGCTAGTAAGTGACAAGTATCTGAGGCCGGATTTGAACTCATGTCTTCCTGACTCCAAGGCCAGAGCTCTATCCACTGTACCACCGAGCTGCCCTGAACAGACTTCTAATCATCCTCCTTGACTCTGGTGTCTCCCTCCACCAATCTTTTTTTTTTTTTAATAAATTTTTATTGATTTCTTTTATTTTTAAATTTCCTCCTGTGTCCCTCCCCCTCCCTACATCATCCCATATAACAAAGACTGTTTAAAAAACAAAAACAAACAAACAAACAAAAAACAAAAATGGAGCAGCCAGGTGGTACAGTAGATAGAGTACTAGCCCTGGAGTCAGGAGGACCTGAGTTCAAATCTGGCCTCAGATACGTACTACCTGTGTGACCCTGGGTAAGTCACTTAACTCTGACTGGCTCCCCAAAATAAATAAAATTAAAAGTTAAAATAAAAAAGAAGAGGAAAAAACCCTAGCACAATTGATCACTACTTTGAATAAAGACTGATGCCATATGCAATGGCCCCTAGCCTTCGAGCCTCCATCTCCACTAAGAAGTACCAAACAATCTGTGTTTGCCAGCAGGGTGAACTCTGGTTTCATCCATCCCAGCTCTGCCTCAACCTATCCTTACCTCCTGATTTTATACATGACTTCCCTTCTTGCTCACCTATGTTATATACACGACTTCCCTCCTGTTCAGCCAAACTGGCCTTCTATCCTTCATGCACAGGCCACACCTTTGCATTGGCTGTGCCCCATACCAGGAATGCAGGACCCTCCTCACCTCAGTTTCTTTCAAAACTCAGCTTAAGGGACACCTTTCCAGGAAACCTTTCCTGATCCAAGCCCCTCCAACTCCCAGATGTTTTTGTCATCACTCCACCACTTTTTTTTGCTATGTATTCATCTTGTAATAGTGATTTATATACATGCTATACTCCAAAAGAATGTAAACTCCCTAAGGGTGAGGCTATTTCATGCCTAGTCCACTGCCCGTCACACAATAGGGGCTTAGTAAATGCTGACTGTGTGACTGACTGAATGACTCTTCACTGGAAAGACAGGTTGGGGCTAATACTATATTTTGTCGCAGACAATGGGGAGCCATGGGTGTTTATTGAGTAAGGGAGTAACATGGTCAGATTGGGGTTTAAGGGAAAAAAATCACTTTGGCAGCTGTTAAACAACATGGAACCATGTACAAAATGTGGGGGCTTAACACCAGAGACAACCTTCCAAGGTGATATTAAATACTTCTTTTTGGGGGGACAGGCAGCATGGCATACTGGATAGAGTCTTCCAGTCTGGAAGAAAAGAGTTCGAATTTCATCTCTGCCACACATTAACTGTGTGACCCTGGGTAAGTCATTTCACAGCTCAGAGCCTCAGTTTCCCCAACTGTAAAATAGGCAATAATAACTCCCCCACCCCATGAGTTCTTGTAAGGATCAAATGAGATAATAACAGTAAAGTGCTTAATACCATGCCTAGCACATAGTAGGTGCTACATAAATGTTAGCTATAATGATTACATTAACGATGCAAGCCATCTCACATTTCTGAGCCTCAGTTTCCCCAACTATAAGATGAGGATAGTAACAGCATTCCCACCCCCACACCCTTCAGGGTTGTTGCAAGGATCAAATGAGACAGTAATTGTAAAGCGCTTAGCACAAGTCTGGCACATAGTAGGTGCTACATGAAGATTAGCTATGATTATCAGCTCAGGAGGGACAAACTGCTCCGACAGGTCAGGGAGCAGGGTACCAACTGGCGAGGGAAGAAAGAACTTCATGGCTATGAAGTGGCTGCCCTGAGACTATTACTGTTGTTGTTGTTAGGATTATTATGTTCACCGTATAACCTTGGGTAAGCCGTTTTTCTGACCCTCAGTTTCCTCATCTGTAAAAGGAGGATAATAATGCCTGTGGAATCTACCTCCTGTGAGGACCAAATGCAGCAGACTACTTTATAAACCTGAGGGTACAGTAGAGGGCGTCCCCAAAGAACTGAAGCAGTTTCATGCTCTGAAAACTTACAAGTGCACCAAGACTTCTGGGGACAGCCTGGGCAGCCAGCGACTCTGACCATTATTACCATCCATTCAGCAGGAGGCAGATCCATCTAACAGCACAACCAGCTGACCCCCGTCTCCCTCCATCTCTCCAAAGACAACAAGCTAAACGCTGTGCTTGAGCCCAGGTAAATCACGCCAGTGGCCTTCCCCTGATCCAGGAAGGATGGGCCGGTGCTCGGGACGGTCCACGTCTCCCCTCTACTGGTTCTCAAAAGCTTTGTTGTTTGGTCACTTTAGTCATGTCTGACTCTTTGTGACCCCATTTAGGGTTTTCTTGGCAAAGATACTGGAGTGGTTTTTTTTGTTTGTTTGTTTGTTTGTTTTTTTTTGGTGAGGCAATCGGGGTTAAGTGACTTGCCCAAGGTCACACAGCTAGTACGTGTCAAGTGTTTGGTCCGAGGCCGGATTTGAACTCAGGTCCTCCTGACTTCAGGGCCGGGGCTGTATCCACTATGCCACCTAGCTGCCCCTTTTTAAAAAAATTTTTTTTTGTGATAGAGTGGTTTGCCATTTCCTTTTCCAGCTCATTTTACAGGTGAGGAAACTGAGTCAAGCAGGGTTAAGTGACTTGCCTAGGGTCACACAGCTAGGAAGTATCTGAGGCCAGATCTGAACTTGGGTCTTCCTGGCTCCGGGCCTGGTGTTCTATCCACTGAGTCACCTAAACTGGACAACCACTTTTTTGAAGAATGCTTCAGAAAAGGTTACTTTAAAGGAACAAGTTAAAAGAGAAGGCCTCTGAGGTTTTTGGAAGACTTCCCAGGACAGGGAACCAGTCCGTCCTAAAGGTTGTGATGGGAGAAGGATGAGAGAGCTGGGCCACATAGTCTGGCGTGCTCTCCAGATCTGGGAAAAGATTTCAAAGGATTCAGAGAAAGGACAGGTCGGTCCTGTGGATCACGGAGAGCTCTTTGAGAGTAGCAGCTGTCTTCTATCTTTCTGGGCATCCCCAGCACTTAGAAGAGCACCTGGCACCTAGCACGCACTTAAATGCTTGCTGACTGACAGACTACAAGAAAAGTCAGTTGAGTGCCTAGTACACAGTGGGCATTTAATAAAGGCTTGTTGACTGACAACGGGAGGAAACAGTACACAGTGAGCATTTAATAAATGCTTGTAGACTGACTGACTACAGGAGGAGTCAGCAGATTGCCTCGTATGCAGAGGCATTTAACATATGCTTATCAATTGACTGACTACAGAAGTCAGCAGAGTACCTAGTACACAGTGAGTATTTAATAAATGCTTATTGACTGATTGCTAGCAGCGTGCCTAGTGCACAGTGGCACTTAACAAATGCTTGTCGACTGACTGACTACAGAAGTCAGCAGAGTGCTTGACAGTTAGCAGGCACTTAATAAATGCTTGTTGACTGACTACAGGTGAAATCAACAGAATATCTAGTAGACAGTGGGCATTTAATAAATGCTTGTTGACTGACAGACTATAAGAGAAGTCAGTTGAGTGCCTAGTACACAGTGGGCATTTAATACAGGCTTGTTGACTGACTGCCTACAGGAGGAATCAGTATACAGTGAACATTTAATAAATGCTTGTTGACCGAGAAAATACAAGAGAAGTCAGTTGAGTGCCTAGTACACAGTGGGCATTTAATAAATGCTTGTTGACTGACTGACTACAGGAGGAGTCAGCAGAGTGCCTCGTATGCAGTGGCATTTAACAAATGCTTGTCAATTGACTGACTACAGAAGTCAGCAGAGTGCCTAGTACACAGTGGGCATTTAACAAATGCTTGTTGACTGACTGACTACACAGAAGTCAACAGAATGTCTAGTCATTTAATAAGTGCCTGGTGACTATCTGACTAGGAGGAATGGGAAACTCTCAAAAAGGAAATTCTGAAGATACAAACAGAAACAACCCTCTGAGGACAAAAAAGAGGAGGTGCCTGGTGCAGTCAACCCAATCTAGTAAACATGCATTAAGTTCCTACTGTATGTGGCACTGTGAGCACAGAGATGAAACAAAGAACAATTTCTGCCCTGAGAGACTTTACACTGAAATTTTAAAAGACAAGAGCAGCTAGGTGGCGCCAGAGTGCACAGAGCACTGGACCAGGAGTCAGGAAGACCCGAGTTCAAATCTGCACTCAGACACTTACTAGCTGTGTGACCCTGGGCAAGTCACTTAACCCCAACTGCCTCCCTTCCCCCCAAAAAGAAAAAAAGAAATTTAAAAAGACACATATATAGAGAAGATGGAGGCAAGAGAAGATGAGATAATAATTGTAAAATGCTTAGCACAGTACCTGGCACACTATACAACTGTCAGCTATTATTTTTATGAATACAAGAGTGTGGAAGGCTGCTTCCTACATGCATAGCGTCCATTGGGCTAAATCTCAGAACAAGGAGAGGCCGTGGAGAAAAGCCCAGGATAACAGAAAGGGCTTTTGGTTGTTGCTACACAGGGAGAAGATGATGAAAGCAGGAGGAGACAGATGCTCAGGGGGACAGGATGAGAACAGACTGTTTTCCTGGTCCGGCTGACAT